ACAAAATCTAAGATAATTGATGAATATTTTCCAAATGAAATATTGACTGTCTATTTCTCAGATTTTACTAAAAGATTCTGTAATCTCATTAACAGATATATTTAGTTTTCCAGAACCTTTGTTCTCGTTCACTACAAGACAATCAGTATAATTACTACTACTACTACTACGACGACTACTACTAGGGTTACGGCTACGACTACTACTGCGTCTACTACTACTACTACTACTACTACTACTACTATTACTACGACAACAACAACTACTACTACTACTACTACTACTACGACGACGACTACTGCTAGGGTTACGGCTACGACTACCACTGCATCTACTACTACTACTACTACTATTACTACGACAACAACAACAACAACTACTACTACTACGACGACGACTACTGCTAGGGTTACGGCTACGACTACCACTGCATCTACTACTACTACTACTACTATTACTACGACAACAACAACAACAACTACTACTACTACGACGACGACTACTGCTAGGGTTACGGCTACGACTACCACTGCGTCTACTACTACTACTACTACTACGACTACTACTACTACTACTACTGCTACTACTACGACTACGACTTCTACGACTACTACGACTACTACTACTACTACTGCTAGGGTGACGACTACGACTACTACTGCATCTACTAGTAGGGCTACGACTACTACTAGGACTAAGACGATTACCATTACTAATACTACTGATATCACTACTAATAATAACCCTAATAATAACATTACTTAACCAAATGTTAATTATTTCACCCGTTTTTCTTGAACATTCCTAATGAATAAACCAGATATACACATAATGTTTGTATAGAAATCTAATGAAGAAATAATCTTCACTTTTATTTTCTTCACTAAGTTTAATCGTATATGCTTGCATATCTTGTAATTCATTAAAATGATCTATTACCTTATTGAATGAATACTATTCAATATTCAATATACTTTTATGTATATATATATATATATATATATATATATATATATGATGATCTAGTAGGCGCCATTTTAATATCCTATTCTTCTAGAATTAGAAACATCATATATGAAAATGTACATCATTCATACATGAAAATGATAAAGTTTTAGTTGTTATATGGTTATTATTCACCTTTTTTTTCTTCTTTTTAATGGTTATTTATTTAAGTAGTTTATAAGTAGTAAATATTTATTCTCCGATAACCCTCACTTCCTTCTACCTCATTAATATGTTTTTGATGTCACTTATTTATTTGTATCAGAAGGGGTTTTGTGGATATTATAGTAATTTCAATAGTTGATATCATGAATCAATTAAAGTTAGATGAACATGGAAAACCCGAAAGTACTGGATGGTCGGTCGTTTCGTCCTAATGTAGGACTCTTCAGTAGTGCGCATCCACAATTCCATCTCGCGAGATTCGAACTACGGACCTGTTAGTCTTGCGTGCAAGTACTTAAACACTAGACCGCTGAGTTAGTCGGCATCCAACACTGTTAATGTCCAACTTCAACTAATCCACGAAATTGAGCGACATATCCATAACTGTCATCAGTGAGTTACTATCTCATAACAGATCTGGTTGAACTTTACTGGTCAGTGCTTCTCACTTATTAATTTAGACATATATTAGATCGAATTTCAATATAAGTAAAGAGTTACTATGGCAATTAATCATTTGAAAATGTTGTTACTATAGATTATTAAGAAATTATTATATGCATAGAAAGTATCCATTATTATTATTACTAATCCATGCTACCATCTTATAGAATTTTATCAAATTTCATCATCATTTTCACAAAGATATTGAAATAATGAAGAAGATTGAGAATTCAAGTGGATGGATTTAATGTTTTCAAATGATCCAAATGTTGAGTCGGCTTCCGAGAACTCTAACGGAACATACAGAGCCCCCAAAAGAGCCGAAGAGTTCCAGCCAATCAGTACATGATGGAGCGTTCTAGAATATCAGTGTGGCATGCTACTATTAGTTAGTAGCATAATATGTCACTTAGCGGATTCGCTAAAATATAATGTTAATTTAACAAATGCTAATATCTATAAATACCCGTGATTTTCTGAACACTTTGATTCTTATCAAATAAACATTTCTCCGGCTTTTTCTTCTGTCTTCTGATTTTGTGACGGTGAAGTTCCAACGTTCGAGTGTCGTAGTCGTAAACTGTATTCTGCGTTAATCAAGTAGCGAGCTTAATACTAAACAACAAAGTGAACTTGTGAATCATTCATTGTCTTTCTGGGCTATATCATCAATTCTTACATTATTCAGAAGTGAATCCCTTTCATTTGGCTTAATAAAAGATAAGTCTACATAACACATAACTTATCAATTTCTACGAACGCCATCGTGTTATCCGCTTAAGGCAATGTTGAGGCAATACACACAGGATGCACATATGCTAATAAGAGACTGATCAATCGCAATATTAAGTGAATTTTAACTTCACTCCATTGTACAAGCAAGTGGCTCTCCAGGACTCAGAAGGTAAGTGGATAACACGATGGCGTTTGAAGCAAACGGTATTCGATTCGAGTCTCAAAGTGAACACCAACTCTGAGATGCAGGTACATCTAGCTGACGAGTCCCAAATAGGATGTTGTATCGCCACTATCCATCTTTGCTTAATTAATCATGATTTTTAAGACCAAATATCGTATCTGCAATTTGTTAACGGACTGATAGAACTCTATTCATCAGTTGATATTGTCTCAAATGTGATAAAATAGCTGAGAGAATGGATTTTAAACGAAAGGGAATATTAAAAAGGATGTATCCAGCGGTTAAGTTGATGTCTCTATTATCAAATGAAATGCTCACTGCAACAAACGAATGTAAACAAATACCTGCCTTGTGTTACCTCCGCTTGTGTTTACCAGTTTACATGTAGGTGCCAAAGTAGATACATTGAAAAAACACAAAAGAACATTTATGTTTACATCTGTGAATGTATTCCACAAACGTTGGAACTAAACGGACAGATATTTTTCAATACTGTAATCGCTTTTCATTCACTAGAAAATCGGGATAATTTTGAAGTTGTAGAATCTTTAGTGTAATAAAACTTTGTAATATCTTAATTTTAACTCCTGAACTTGACTCAACTAGCCTATATTACATATTACATTACAAAGGAAGAACATATGGAACTTAAAACAACTGTCATTCAATAATAACGTTAGAATAATCAATAAGAACTTCAAGACAGTCTATTGTATGGAGCTGATCAATTACAGTCCTGAATAACAATAAGAGGATACAAGTAAAACAACACTAAGTGAATTTAAACAACTTCCATTTCAATAACTGAATCCATAAGTCGATTAAAGCTAGAACACCATGGAAAGTCCTAGCACAGAATTCCTTAACAGTGCGTATTCACGATCCCGCACCGAAGAGGTTCGAACTCAGGACCTATCGGTCTGGTGCACGAACATCTAACCTCTAGACAACTGGTTTGGCCTATATCCAACGGTGTTAAAGTCTAACCTTAACTAATCCACAAAATTGCGGCATCGTCCATCATTGTCTTCAGTGAGTTACTGTCTCATAACAGATTCGGTTTATTTTCACAAAACAAATATTATAACTAACATGAAACTCAAATAGTATATTAAGTAGTATATCAGTCATGATATTTTAATTGTTGAATCCATTAGCCAATTAAAGTTAGACTACTATGAAAAACTTTGAAACTCTAAAAAGCTGTTTCGTCCTGGTACAACATACATCCACGATCCCTCATCGAAAAGATTCGAACTCAAGACCCGTTGGTTTCGTGTGCGTGAATTCTCAATCTCTTGATCACTGATTCGGTCATCATCTAAACATTCTTAATATTTAACTTCAATCAATCCACATATACAAAAAAAATTGTGTTCGATAAATAAACAGCATAGTAACTAACACAATTATCCAATTTACTTACTTGAAATAATTTTTCATTTATAGGGCAACTAGTTTTTGTAATCTAACTGTTTTTCTTTCATTAATAATTCATAATTTACGATCCCGCCGCCCGTGAGATTCAAACCCAGGATCTACCAGTCTCGCGCGTGAGCGCTTAACCATTAGATCATTAGTGAGAAGCCGTTACCAGTAGAGTTCAACCAGATCTGTTGTGACGTATCAGCTCATTGAAGACAATGGTGTACGGTGGCGCAATTACATGGATTGGTTGAAGTTAGAAATTAACACCGTTGGATACCGGCTCAGGTGCAAAACTAATAGGTCTTTGGTTTGAATCTCGCGAGGTGACATCGTGGATGCGCACTACTGAGGAATTTCATACTACGGCCGTCTAGTGCCCTCAGGTTTTTCATGATGGTCCAGCTTTAATCGACTCATGATTTCAACTAGTGACATTTCTTAACCCTCGCGGGGTGCGGGATCGTGGATGCGCACTACTGAGGAATTCCATACTGGGACGAAACAGCCGTCTAGTGCTTCAAGGTTTTCCATGATGGTCTACCTTCAATCGACTCATGATTTCAACCAGTGAAATTTCTAAAATCTCCATAAAACCCCTCCTGATAAGAATCCATAATTTAATGGATTATTATTATTATTATTGATAATGATGATGATACTCTAGAGGTGACAATTTGTAGATTTTATAAAATGCCTATAAACATCTTACATTTTAATAATTGAATTCATGAATCGATTACAGTTAGACTACCATGGAATACCTGGAAATCCTACTATATAAAACTCCTCAACAGTGCATATCCATGATCTTACATCTGGAACTCGAACTCAAGACCTATTAATTTCGGCCGCACGCATTTAACCTTTAAATCACTCATTTGATCAACATCAGAATCTTCGATCTAACGCTCGAACGTTCATGAACCGGGATCTAAAGGTGTTCATATCTCATTTTAACCAATCCACATACACACACACAAACACACACACACACAAAGATGAAATCAATAAACACCATAGTAACTAATTATTAACTTACTTGAAATGATTTCTCATTAATAGGACAATTAATTTTTTGTAATATACATATAATTTTTTTCATTAATAATTCATAATTTAATTGATTATTATGTTTATTGATTAAATCCATTTGATTATTGATTAATAATTGTATTGATAATTTATCACAATCTTTATATTGATTTTTAATAAATAATAAATAATTATAATTTTTTATTATAGATTGAGTACATAAATGATATTCTATACCTTTATTAAACCAATAACCATTATTATTATGATTATTGATTATGATTGTATGATTGGTTATTGATTTTTTCATTGATTTTTCATTCAATAATTGATTATTTATTGAATAGATATAAATGAAATTATTTAATAATAATAATATATCATTAATAATAAATAAATAAATTATATAATATTTAATTATCATATTTATTTATTTTTTTTTAAAAATAATCATACAATTTTCATTTAAGTAAATAAGTAGTTTAGATAGATTGGATGCATTAAATGAATGATTCTGATTGATATGTATATAGATATATATAAATATAAATGTATTGTATATTATTTAATTCTTCATTCATTCATTCATTCATTCATTCATTCATTAAGAATGAAGTTTCTTCAGTATTTATATATATATCTATAAAGTTACCCAACAACTACAGCAACAACAACAACAACATTTTTTTCAAGTTTTTTTCCTACTTTTGTAACTAGGAGGACCGAACACACACATACGCGCGCACAGACGCACACGTATGCACACACACACACACAGTGTTTTTTTTCCTTTTTGGTTTTACAATCTAGTTTCATTAAGTAAATATATAAACCAATAGCAAGTTGTTGTTGTTGTTGTTGTTGTTCTTGTTCTTGTTATTACTAATTTTTTTTTCATTTTAACTATTTAATTTTCCTATTTCAATGGTTTATTATGATTATTGTTTATAATGATTGGATAAATTGAATACGGTGCCACTATCATATTTGAGAAGAGAATATAGAAAACAAACAAACAAACAAACAATCAAAATAAACTTTAAACATTGTTAATTATTAACCATATAAATTATGTGAATGAATAGGGTGTTAATAGGGTGTCTTCTGTGAATGGATATACAATATGTGAAAGGTAAAGAAAAGGTAGATAGATCTATGGGGAATGTAATTCACATATAACCAATAAAATCTTTTATGTATTATAATGAAACGGGGAAAAGTGTTATAATGTATAGAAGATATGTAAACTATAATATAGAATATTACTGTTATCTTAATTGGCGCCATTTTTGTTCATGAATATAGAATAATAGACGCCAAATAAAAATATGGATACATACACACATGTATATATACACGCACGTATGCACGCATGCACGCACACATACACACACACAAACAAACAAATAAAATACACATAAGTATTCATTTCGATTTATAAATGTACTTGTAATAAAACCTAACAGTCTCGCGCGTGAGGTGATGTTGTGGATATTTACTGTTGAGGAGTCCTATACTAGGATGAAACAACCGTTTAGTGCTTTCAGAATTTCCATGGTGATCTAGCTTCAATAGATTCATGAATTCAACTATTCAAATTACTAAAATCTCTACAAAACCCCTTCGGATATTAATCAACATATGCACACTAGTGACTGGTTTCAAGAGATATTTTATGAAGTTCTGGTGACAAGCAGTGACCAGTAGAGTTCAATTGAGTCTTTTATGAGATAGTAATTTACTGAAGACATTGGTAGATGTGTCACTCAGTGATCTACAGGTTAAACGTTCGCACACCAAACCAATAAGTTCTGGTTTCGAATCCCACGAGGCGGGATCGTGGATGCACATTGTTGAAGAATCCCACAACGGGATGAAACCGCTATCCAATAGTTTCAGGTTTGTTACGATGGTCTAGCTTCAACTCAACTATTAAATAAATAAGCCTCTTTCTTTTTCTTTCTCTCTTTGTATACTGATATAGAACAAAACAATTCTCTTCTGATTTTTATTTCTATTCAAATTTACAATAGAAGAACATTGTTTCAAACGCCATGGGCGTTATCCACTCGACTACTGAATCCTGATAGCCACTTATTTGTGCAATTGGATGAATTTAAATTCACATGGTATTGTTTGCTTGAATCTTTCCATTAAGGTTTAAGACTGCAATTGATCAATCTGTTATTGATATATATGTGCATCCTGTGTAGATCGTCACGATATTGCTTCAAATTATAAACTTTATAAGTAGTGATGGATAGTGGATTCCTAGAGTGAACATCAACTGTAGGATACAGGTATATCCAACTGAAGAATGCCAAATAAGACAAAATGCATGTTCTGGATTCCACTGTTAGCCATCATACATCGTTGCTTATAATTCTATATAAAGTTAGGTCTTTTGAATAACTGAAACGTAGATAATTGTCTTCGTAATTAGGTTTCATCTAAAATGAAGTAGATAATTTAATATACAACACTAAATTCGATGAGATAATTAATGGCTTTTAAAGATTCATTCGTTTCGCAATCATAGTCATTATATCATACCATGTATGGGTATGAGATCATATTTAAATCAGAAATCGATAAGACTATAATTTATGGACGACCATCTAGAGACGCTAAATTCACTTTGAGAATGTCAATCCGCTAATTAGAACTAAATGAGGTTTATAAATCAGTGTAAGGAATAAGAATTATGACTTAAAGTTGATAGGGCTAAGAATTAGATTTAGAAGTTTTATTCACGAACTGACATCATTTAAAATGTTAAAATGCTACGTAGGGCTGCAACTTGATTTCGTAAACATGGCAATCAACTTAGCAACCAATCAGAATGAGGCGGGAATCATTATACCCGCCATCTTTGTAAGGAATGGTGGTCGGCTTTCTTCGTTCTGTGCTTTTTTCAGCTATTTCTTTTGTGTCGCTACATAATTTAATGTTTCAGTGTGCTAAAATGCCGCAGTTAGTGTAATGTTCTAAATGTTGGTGTAAAATTTATTTCGATTCAGCGGTGTTTTCTGGGTTTTTGTTGTTGCTACTCAAGCCAATGTATTTCTTCAGGCAAGCTGGTTAGTCTTATGTTATAAAATGTTAATCCGTTTTGTTTTGAGTACTTTTTTTCAGATATCGAAGTTAGTTTTCTTAGCTAAAATAAGTTTTGCTGCTGCATGGAACTCTAATTGTCCTCATATTCGTTCCTAAGTGTCATTTATTGTTATCAGGCGGAATGAAAGAAAACAGTCTCCGATTTGTTATTTCCTGTAGTATTATGGATCACGCTACTCCATCAACGAGTCAAATTCATACTGAGTATCCAGTAGCTATGGATACTAGTGATGTTTTCGAAAGGGTTATGAGACTCAGGTACCTGACAAGCTGGGACCAAGTTAGAGAAGCTATCGATCTGTTGCAGAAGGTTTGTTATTAATAATACACCATATAAAAGTAATAGATGAGTTGGACTCATTACGTAGTACATGAAAGCAAGCGGAACAAAGAAAAGCAGGAAATTCACTACGAGTATTTAGTGTATGTATATTCTTTTGGTCATAAAAAGAAGCCAGAGGACCATGGTCAGAGAGTAAAAGGGTAAATGACTATTATTATTCTTAATTTTCATAGATCAAAGTTTACTGGTTGCAAGGCCACGTTTCGTTTGTGATATGATGTCAAACAGTTCGTCATAGCGTCATCGAAGATGATACATAACCGTCCGTGTGATGAAATATGCTTAAAACTGATCCTTGATTCAGAAGATTAAATCAAGATCAGTTGAACGTTGTTATAGCTATGGTTGAGACTGGGAGTAATCCAGATTGGAAAGAAAATAACGGTGAAATTTATTAATAATTTTAAATATAAAGTTGTGGAACGCAAGCTTATTCCATATATCTACGGTTTTTTTTAGGTCGTGGAAGTTTAAGCGACGTACTTTCAACGTTACGCAACTGTGGGAAAGTATTCGTTTGTTATGGTGGTGTGGTTAACCAGGTCACAAGAATAGCATTTAGTACGTACGAGCAAATGGAAACGTATAAGCAAATCCCTGAAGTTGTTTGCTTGGATTCAACATACGACACGAACAGGGGCACTTTTTTTCTTATTTTTAATCAGACTAATTTGAATCAGTATACTCATTAAAAACAGGCAGCTCTACTTACTAAACTGATCTGTTTCGTTACAGGCTTCAAGCACTATACTTAAGTATACTATAATTCTATAGACTAAACTGACTTATACAACAACCAAGAATACTAAACTAAGCAAGTGTCATAATTATTGTTTCATTTGCACAGACATGTTACTCAAAGTAGTTAAGTGGATAGAATTCAGCCGATAAACCCAAAACACGAACTATAGGCCAGTCGAACTTACCTAGCAGAAGACAAAGGATATTATTTTGAGACTAAAGACAACAGTCAGTTGTTCATAAAAACATAGTTTACAGCACAACAAACCTTTCTTCAGTAACATTATACACTGTCGGTCTATCTGGAAACAATCAACGATGTGATCAAAGCTACTATGACTTGGGATATCATTCCAGCATGCAATGAAAGTACAGTGTAACGCAGTCGGACGTGACGAATAAAAATTATAACCAGAGCAAAATTTACAGCATAATCTACTTATTTAATAAAAAAAATACATTATAAAATGACAAATTCTATGACTACATGAACTCAGACATGACCTTTATTACACTAGGCGATACATTCGGCTTACATGGAAACGTTGAGGATAAATCCACCCCTATATAGCTAAATAGATGAATGAATTACGCGCCAAAACTCAAGATCTCTTATCTTATATCTGATTGATTCATCATTATATTATTATCTTACACAGAAATCGATATTATTATTTAATTTTCTTCTGGAAAATTACCATCTGAACAACATAGTATTATTATGAGTTTGTTCAGTATAACGTTTCCGGTAAAATACGGAATTCTCAGCACAAAGTATTTCAACAAGTTTCCATTTCCTATATCTTGATCGATTCTGACAATAATATATTGGTTGAAATCATCAGTCAATTGAGGCTAGACCACCATGAAAAACCTGGAAGCGCTGGACAACCGTTTCGTCCTAGTATGGGACTCCTCAGCAGTGAGCACCCATGATCTCGCTCCTCGCGAGATTCGAACCCTGAATCTATCAGTTTCGCGCCAGGAGCTTGACCAAATAGACCACTGAGCTGTCATCAAACGATGTTAATGTCTAACTTCAACCAATCCACGAAGTTGCGCCACCATATACCATTGTCTTTAGTGACTGATAAGTCCTGGTTTCGAATCTCGCAAGGAGCGGGATTATGGATCTGCACTGCTG